CCTCAGAGCCTCCATCCAACACACAGAATGCATTTAATAAAAGGGTTAAAAAAAATTAATTACTAAATTGATTTACACTGTTACTGCAGCTTTTTTCATAGACTGCCTAGTAAGGTTTGGGGCCCATGCTTTATCCTTTCCACTTAACAGGATTAAGTCTGTTTTTAACAATGATGTCTCATTGCTCCAGGGCATGCAGCTTGGAATCTTGACCAAAAGAAACTAAACTCACTGCCATCTAGTGGATTCGACTCATAGCAACCCCTCCTCTGGTTTCTGAGGTGCTGGTGGTTCAAACCCACCAGCCACTCCTCCTCTGAAGGAAGATGGGGCAATCTACTTCTGTAGTGATACTGCCTCTGAAACCCAAGGAGGGGTCGCTATGAGTCAGGTCTGACTCGATGGCACATAAGAACAACAACATCTCTACCTAGATACCAGGTAGGTAGGTATCTCTACCTATCTCTAGAAGTAGGTTGTCTAATCCTCCTTCTGAGTGGCTGGTGGGTTTGAACCATCAGCCTTCTGGTTAGCAGTCAAATGCTTTAGGCATTACACCACGAGAGCTCCTAATGGACCTTTTAATTCTATTCCAGAGCAGATCATCATGTCCAGGTCAAACCTAGAACTCATTTATCTGTTTGAGAGCCCTCAGTCAACAATGTTCATTCTACAAACATTTGCTAAGCACCTACTCAATGCCAGATATGTGCCATGTATGGGAAGTGAAGAAATGGATGAAAAAAGAATTCCTGTCTTCTAGGGAGCATCCTCAGCACACTGATCTTTTTCAGGGAGGCCTTTTGTCACTCATCCATTGTTTTATATATTCATTTACATGTCAACACCTGCTCTGCTGCAGGGTTATGCTAGGCATTAATATTACACCACGGAGCAACACATGGTCCCAGCCACCAAGTAAACAGATGGTCTATAAGGGAGAGAGATCAATAACTCATCAAAGTGTCACATGTGGATGTGGCAGAAGGGAGAAATAAGGCTAGTGGGCTGGGAAGAAGCCATCAGGATGGCATTCCTCCATGGTTTCACTGAATTTTGAAACATGAGTAGCAAGCAGGGAGCTCTACATGGGTAAAGGCATGGAAATGCACAAGGTCTCAGTACACTTGAGAAGCCACCAGTTGTTCTGTATGGATGGAAAAGGGCTGTGTATTTGTGGGTAGTAGTTAAGGCAGATGCCAACTCACGGAGAGTCTTCAGTGCTGAGTTTGAACATTTTCCTGGAAGCTCTTCAGAACCCTTGAAGATTTTGAAGTGAAAGAATCTCTCTGAGGGTGTTCCATAGTGAAGAGAAGGGAGAGGAGACAGATGGGTACAGGGAAGAGGCTGTTATAATAGGAGAGGAGGACTCTGATGAGGGTTTGAATTAAGACTGTGAAGGTGAGGATGGAAGGATATTGGGTAACTGCAGTGCTGATGGAGGAGACTGACATCTTCATTTGTGTCATGCCCTGGTGACTGACACAGGCCTCCAGGGGTAGGAAGGCTCATCAAACCAAACCGCACTCACTGTCTTGGAGTCCAGTTGACTCATAGCGACTCCTCCCTGGGTTTCCGAGGCGTTATCTCTATGGAAGCAGATTGCTCATTCTTCCTTCTGAGGAGTACCTCGTGGGTTTGAACCACCAGGCTTCTGATTAGCAGTCAAATGCCTTAGGGACTATGCCACCAGAGTTCCCAGGAAGGCTCAGCGAGAAGACTTCACCTTGCCTGTCCAGCTTGGATCCTGGGACAGTTGTAACCAGTGTCCACCAGGGGGCACCCGTCAACAACACAAAAACCTGAGCCATCAAAGGCCAAAGTTTAAAATAGGACAAGACCAAGGGATATTGACAAAAACTAAACTTTGTAACTTAGCTATCTATCCACAAGCCTTAAAAATAAATAAACAGATATACAAAATGAATCAGCCACTTCAAAGCCTACAAAGGATAATATTATCATATTCCTACATCAATCCTCCTAACTCGAAAAATAGTAAGAATAAGGGCAAAATGCAGGAGGGTCAACTTTAAACACAAGCGAAGCTTGTCCCAGCTGTAGATAAACTTCAAAAGTGAAAAAGACCTCCCATCCAAGCCCCAGGAGAGTCACCTCAGGGCATCTGTCCTGGCTTTACCTTACAGATACAGGTGAAATACACAAGCAAGAGCCGCCAGACCTCCCAAGCCACAGCTCCCACACATCCTGGAGAAGAGGCTCTCTGGCTTGTCCGCAGCTGGCCCTGCACGTTCCCACTCTGAGCCAGGTTCTCATGTATAAAGACCAGCCTCCAGCAACTTCCCAGGTTCACCTTGCATGGTGGAAAGGGGACACTATTTTTCATTGCAACCTGCAGACAGGGAAGACTAGGTTCCGCCACAGCACCAGGGCTTCCTGATGGCACCCACAGCAGCCTTTCTTGCTCACTGCCCTGAAGCAAGGGACCAAGAGAAGGCTGCACACATAAGGGCTGGAACGGACTCTTGTAATCTGATTTGCACTGGTTGAACTTGAGGAAAACAAAAAGACTCACAAATGTAGCAAACATCATCATAATAAACTGAGAAAAAAAGTTGAAGTTGTCAAGGATTTAATTCTACTTGGATCAACAATTAATGTCCATGGAAGCAGCAGTCAAGAAATAAATGAAGTTCTGCTTCAAAAGACCTCTTTTAAGTCTTTAAAAGCAAAGATGTCACTTTGACGATTAAGGTGCACCTGACCCATACTATGTTCTTTTCAGTCTCCTCCTATGCATGAGAAAGCTGGCAAATGGAAAAGGTAGACTGTTTTGGTTACCAAGTGCTGCTCTTACGGAAGATACCACAAATGGGATGGCTTGAACAAAAAGTTTATTTTCTTACAGTTTTGGAGGCTAGAAGTCTGAGTTCAAAGTACCAGGCTCTATGGGCTGGGTGAAAGCCCTTCAACCTTGGGCTTCACCTCTGCCTCCTGCTCCCAGCCCACTGAGGCTAGAGGCTTTCTTCACTCAGGCAGCTGCTGGCCGCTGCAGTTGACAAGCCCACACGATCAACAAGTAAAAAGGCACAGTGCCAATGTTACCAAACAACACAGCAGGCCACTAATTCAAGTCCAGAAGAAGTCTCAAGATCAGCAAGGCACGGCAGGCTGCTGAACAACGACTCATCTACATGCAAGGTTCAAGCATGCCAAAAAGCTAGAGACTTTCTTCAAAGGTGCTTCTTATACACTGGAAGCAGTCCACATCCCAAAAGCAGCTACTTACTCAGCTGCTCTAGTGATTCCACCATGGAACTGATTGCCAGTCTCTCCATGGGGAATAACTACATCCAGCTGCCCAGTCACTCAAAGCCAAGCCCAGCCACGTTGACAACAACCTTAACTACTACATATGTTGAACAGAACTAGTACCTTTGAATTATGATGTTGGCAAAAAATACTGAATATACCATGGGCTGCCAGAAGAATGAACAAATCTGTCTGAGAAGAAATACAACTGGAATACTTTATAGAAGGAAGGAAGGCAAGACTTTCACTCACTTACACTGGAAATGCCATCGAGAAAGACCAGTGTCTAGACAAGGACGTGGTTGGTAAAGTAGAGAAAATGCGAAAATGAAGGAAACCCTCAATGAGATGGACTGACACAATATTCTCAACAATGGACTCAAACACACCAATGATCAAGAAAATAGCATACAATCAGGCTATATTTCATTGTTATACATAATAAAGTAGCCATGAGTTGGAATTGACTCAATACCAATTAACATCAACAACAATACAGGGAATCTTGCCAGATGTGAGATGTAAGTCGGCCACACTCAGAATATCCACTCTGTGACCTTTTTCTGCTGCCAAGAGCTACCTCCCAAGTACAGGCACCCACCACCCTCGTTCAGTCTGTGTGCACTCCAGATCAGAAGCCATAAAAACGTCCTCTTTGGAGTCCATTTAAGGACCTGGTTTCAAATTTGGGCACCATCACTCACCAGCCTGGCAACCTCAAGAGCAAGATTCCCCTGACCTGCCATTGCCTTTCCTGTCAAGTGCCAGGAAGGCACCGTGCCTGCCCCACGCAGGGCTGCAGTGAAGACTAAATGAGATCATGTCTAAGGAAGGGCTTGGAGAGCAGCAAGTGCCTCACACGCGAGCTCTGCCTCCTTCCCAGGCTTCAGTTTAACTCAGCCACATTCCAGGATTCCAGAGCTATGACTCAAGCCCTGCAATAAGAAGAGCTTCCAAACGCTTGTAGGAATTAAAATGGGTTTCGTGGAAAGGTGGCCAGGTGGAAACACTCTCTGGTCTAAGTTTCAAGTAAAACGAAAAAGAAAGAAAGAAAGAAAGAAACCCAAATTTCTTTTTTCCACCTTCCATTTTCTTGTATTTTGTTTATAACTAAAGTAATGCATGAATACAAGCTCAATTGCAAAAACATACACAAGTACATACAGTAGAAGGTGAACTTTCCCTCCTCTCGCACAATCCTTTTTGATTTCACTCTCTTCCCCATGGAACACACACACTTACAGTTTTTCCTAGCATGATTTTAGGTAAATGCAATCATACTGTATATACATACTAACAATGTGCCTTAGAGGAAGTTGCATTTCAAAAGTGAGTTTCCTTCAATACCCAGGTACAACTATACAATTTCAGACCATGGTCACCGGGGGTGGGGAAAAAGAATGGTGTATTTTATTGTTGAGAAGTATTTTTTCTTAATAAAAAAGTCACTCTTGCCATTAAAGAGTATGAAGCAGGTAAAGTGTGAATGTGGTGCCTCAGAGGGGAAAATGCCTTTGCTCCCTTAACCATCTGGGAAGGTTCAGGTGTTTTGAGTAATGAAACTTAAGGAAATTAAAACTTCCCAGAATTTTCCTGTGTTATTTTAAAAACCCCAATTTCTTTGCCTCCTTTTCCAGTCTAAGCCTGATGATGCTCACTGACAATGCTTTGCATTGAAAACAGAACCCCCCACCCCGGTTCCCCTGCAGTGTTGTTTTCTACTTTACCTGCAAATTTCTTCAACAGATGTGATGGGGACTTCTTAAATTCTGGTTCATATTTCATTGTAGCAGTTTAAGGATGAACAGAGGTATCAAATGAACCTGGAAAACAGCATATTCAACACACTCCGGACCTCATGGAGAGAAGGTTTTAACATTATGTAACTCAAAATAAACACAGTTAAGTATAGAGAGTGAAGCCTGTAACAAAAGAGAGAGAGAGATCACTGAGGTCCCAGCTGGACAGGTCTGTGCCGCTTGGTGGGACTTACTGGGAAACATGCCGCTGGCCGAGTCCCCTCAGCCTTGCTGTTGGCTTCAGTTATACTCCAAATGAAGAACAACTTTTTTGATAAAACCAGAAACTGCCCACCTTTCTCCCTGTGCCTCTCAGGGCAAGTGAGAGTAGAACCAGTGTCAGGCCTGCCCCTTGTCATTGTGACATCACACAGCCTCCCATGATGTCACACTACAGGAGCTACTGCTGCCTGAGGACTTTTCCTCAGAGAGAGGTGGGCTCCACTGCCCTCACAACCTTTATATTGGCTACTGTAGAGGAGAGAAGACCACTCAAATTAATAAAAATATGCTGAGAGACTTCTAAGTGCAAGGTACCATGATATGTGTAAACCTGTACACTATATCAGCAAGATCTCCATGTGGCACAAAAAATTTGCACTTGACTGCTAATCTGAAGGTTGATGGTTTGGACCCACCCAGCAGTGTCGCAGAAGGTAGGCCTAATGATCTGCTGTGTTACAATTCGCAGTCAAGGAAATCCTATGGGGAGTTCTGGTATTCTGGTGGAATAGGCAGAAAGACTGCACAGACCCTCTTCAACAAAGAAAAGAGAAACCACTTAACACAGATACAGAAGATAATCCTGGACCTCTGAGCTTTGAAGGGAAGGGTATAGAAGTGGACTAAACTTCATCTAGTAGAAGAATTTGCATGAAAACACCAAAAAATGAGATATACGGAACTGCAGTCTGGCAGAGATCCTGATGGCACAGACAGCTTGGATATTGCCAAGTGGTGTTAAGACATAAGAATTAACCTAAAAACAGGCCTGGCTAGCCAGGGACTGCAAAGAGGACTGCTCTGGTGGCTGGTGAATAGAAGGGGAAGCAGCAAAGAGGAAGGAGGGCTGAGCTGTAGACTTTTGCCTGTCTGGAGGATGCAGCCATTTTGAATGTTTACAAGCAGTTGGACCATTTGGGATATTTAAAGCAACAGTGTTGTCTCAGATTCCAGGGACTTAAGAATAGGCTCCACTTGCTGGGAACTGCCAAAGCCATTCCAGATACCAACTGGAAAGGTGCAATATTCCCCTTGTTATTCATATACCCCACACCCTCTTAGGGAAAGGAGGTGCGACCATCCCACACTTCCACCCACCTTCTGGGCCAGCAGGAATTCCATCCCAATCTGTGTGCTCCAAGGGTGACTCGGTACGCTGCCCTGCTCTGCCCTTATTTTTTTATTTATTTATACATATATTTTTTTTCTTTTTAGTTTATATGTTTAAAAATTATTGTTGTTGTTATTATTATTATTATTGTT